GTTTCCGTAGAAAAGCTCAGAGCTGTGACAGATGCCAAATAAACCTCTCAGTCGTCATGCTTAACTTCTTTTCTATTTTAGAAGTAAAAAACATTGTTTGAAAACATTTCCAATAAAGCATAAATCTCACTTTTCTATGGGAACCATCAGGGACAGTCTCCCACTCAGTGGAAGACAATGAAGAAGAGAAGAAACATCACTCTGTGTTCGACCGTGTTTCAACTGTGTGTTATTGTGGTTCAATAAAGCAAACAGAGTTGTGCCTCATTGGCTACGTCATGTCCTTATCAAGAGAATCCTATCCTATCAATATACTTTTAACTTAACAGTTCTGCATCGGGTTCTGCAGTATTTGGAGCGAGTAACTCAATACCTGAACTGCTCTTATTTTAATATTGGGAGCTAAGATCACTAAACCTGCTGTGTTTATAGCCAACTAAAGGTGATACAGATCTGAATTTAATCTTCACGTTTTAGTTCTAACATAAAATGCTAAAAACTAAACCTGAATAAGGGTTAGATTTGATCAAATGCTATTAAACTCCAACTCTATCAAGCGTTACGCAACAAAATAATGACAGCCTATCATATCTGAAGGTACACTGCATAATACTTGGCTGTGAGAGAAACTATAGCCTACGGCTCACATACCCTTTTTTACTCCTCATACACAAACGTGTGCACGGTGATGCATGTGATTACGTAAGGACTAGGTGTGCTCTGGCAGGACAAGCTGTTCCAGGGGAGGGTTGGTGTGGTTGGAGGGGGAAAGGCAGTCAGGTTGCAAACAGGCAGGAGGTCTGATCCAGTTTAGTTTTATCTTTACGAAACCATGAATGTCATCAGTGTATTCCTCCTGGACGGGGTTGTGGAGATAGAGAGATCAGAGCAGATTCTCTCTCTTCAGTGCAGCCCTGTGATGAATGGGCCTCCTATCACACTGAGTCAAATCTGTAATCTGGGTTTGAATTTATCTGCAGCCTTTCCCTCAATGTGTCATATAATTCCATACACAAAGACTGATTACCCACAGATTTTCCAGCTTGTGAGGATGTGGCAAGCTGTCCAAACGCATTTAAAATTGTCCCCAAGAGCCAAAATTGTGATTGTGGCGAGGACATTGCAGCCAAATTGAACTTCCAGGCTGTCACTAGAAACCCACAAAGTTCCATCCTTAATTATAAATCACGTTTAAGACATTTGAATCTAAAGTCAATATAACCGTTCCCCACTTTAATGTCTTTAGCATCAGCTGTATGAAGTCGCACTGTGCTCTGTAAAGTTGTTTGTTTGGACCAAAATTAGATCAAACTCTATCGCAGTGGCTACAGTTTGAGTTTTAAAGTGTGTTTGAGTAGCCTTCACATGTTGCGTGCCAGTGTTTGGAGGATTAAGTGTTAAGGGAATAATCCTGATTCACCCCAGAAGACTCCAGTCATCTCCAAACAAGAACAGCTTTATTACAGCTGAGCGATTGGTACGCTGCTCATCGATGACACTGCCTTAGAACGGGCATGCCTGCGTTTGCAAGTGTGTGTGTGTGTGTGTGTGTGTGTGGTGTGTGTGTGTGTGTGTGTGTGTGGGAGTAGTGGCGTGTTTGCAGGATGTGTGGAAACAAGGGTTCATAAGCAGGTGCCACGTGGCATTGAATGTGCTAAGCCAAGACAAGGGCCGCTGCGGGGCCGGTGTGTGTTCTCAGCTGTTGGGGAGGGGGCGATGAAGGTGGGGCCGTGTGTGTGTGTGTGTGTGTGTGTGTGTGTGTGTGTGTGTGTGTGTGTGTGTGTGTGTGTGTGTGTGTGTGTGTGTGTGTGTGTGTGTGTGTGTGTGTGTGTGTGTGTGTATGCAGCATTTCATCTACAGACATTCATGCTCCCCCGGACCTCCCCACTAATCCGGCAAGATCTGAGAGCAGACATGCAGTGTGTGTGGGGTGGGGGACACGCGACATACACTCACATGACACATGTTGTCTCGCACACATTCATACGCTCGCAGTACGAGGCACGCATGTCCTGTCAGCTGTCCGCCACGGCCACATTCTCTTGCACTCTCTTGCAGCTTGACTTACACTCCTCTTCCTCCTTGTTGAGAAAATTGATCCAGATCCAGAAACCAGTCGGATAATGAAAGTCAAGTCGCCCTTGTACCCACGTATCAATCATCCCTCTCACTGATAGGAATGTTGAGTGAATCCCTGTTGCACATATCCCGAGCTCAAACACAGTTATTTTAGGTGTATATCTCCAGTTATCTGTCATGAATGTAAGATTACAAGCTTTTCTAGGTTTGTTTGAGGTTTTTCCATTTGGGGCTTTTTGGTCCAGTCGCGGAGGCTTTTCTTTTTCCTATGATGCACTCGTTTGTCTTGGCTTAAGCATCAGATGTTTTCAGCTGCTTTAGTTGCAGCAGGAATGTGAACGCTCCAACATGATAGTGAGTACCTATCTGGGCTATTGTCTAAATATGGCATCTGATTTACTCGTATTTCTCTGGACCGGCTGTCTCCACACCTCCGGGAGAACATACCACCTGTGTGCGATGGGACATTTGACTCTGCTGTATGAAAATGCGCGCGCATGCGTTGATGTTGACTTCAGAGAAGCATAAGTAGGTGATGTTATAACAGATTTCTGTGACTGGTTTGCCTCTGCCATGAAGCTGTCTCTGTGGCAGCGTGGTCTTCGCGAGGTAAGTTGAGGTCAGTGACTCAGTCAGAGGTGAGACACTTCACTCCCCTATACCTGCAACCTCTCCAACGTCATCGACTGCAACAGTTGAGAAATGTCTTAATCTGAAAAGTAGCACAGTCACCACACAGCGAGCACAGGACTGAACAGGACCTCTCTTTGTTTTGACACACAAATTGCTCCAGACTGAAATATCTCAACAACTATTGGATGGATTGTTATGAACTTTTAGTCATTCAGTCTTTCACGGCCCTAAGAAGACGGATCCTACTGACTTTGGTGATCCCCGGATTTCCCCCCTGCTAGTCACTAATGTTGTTTTACCCCCCCTCCCCCTTCACATATGTAGTCATGTGAGCCATTGTTTATATACACATATTAGTTATGGCCAGTTTTAAAGGGTAATACTGGGTCGTATTTTCATAGATTTGGTGATTATTCCAATCCATAATAACATTGGAATGGTCTGACTATGTCACACTTTGTCGTCACCGTGTTCCCAGAGCTCATCAGTAACCAATAAACTGTGTTATCATAACTGATATAAATGAGCCAAAATGATTCAAAGTTGTAATAAACTGGAATAATCTTTTAATGCAGTTGTTAAAGGAGAACATGTCATGTTCACCACAGTAAACAAGGCCATTCCTGTAGCCTCACTGACTCTCTGTTTCTCAGTCTCTTTCTATTTTAAACCTCTCTCTGGTTGGGGGGCTCTGTCTGGGTACAGTGACCCTGGGTGTATGAGAGGAAGGGAGGAGTTGGTGCTGGTGGTGGCAGAGGACAGAGAAGAAAGGGAGAGAGAGAGGGAAAAAGAGGAGAAGACCCTGGCTTGCAGAGCGGGGCTGTTTAATCTCTCCAGGACCGTCAGATGGCTTTGACAGAGCACAGGCACCAATTAGGCTGCAAGATTAGGGGGGCTTTGTACTTCTGAAAAGCTTCTGGATGGACCTTTTTTTTTTTTCTTCCTTCCTGCCTTGGGTTTATATCTTTACTGGGACTCCTCACCCTCCCATAACCTTATCCCTCTCTCCCTCCCTCCCTCCCTCCCTCCCTCCCTCCCTCCTTCTGTCCTCTCCCAGCCCTGCGACCTGCTCCTTAAAATCTGCGATTATACCTGGCTAGACATTGAGAGGAGTGGATTAATAAGGCAGCTCGTCAGTGTGGCCTGGCAGGGGAACGCTGCAAAGTGAGTTAACAGGCCAACGAGGTGGCGAGTCGGATGTTTATTGGGGTCCTGGGTGCCTGCTGGCATGGACCTGGAGCTGAATTGCAGGAGTGGGGGAGACTCCTGCTCCAATCTGCAGAATATGACGGTAGAGTACCAGGCGTGGGGACAGACAGAGAGTCATTTGAATTGAAATCTGAGTAACTTGCTGCCAACTCTGTTATGTATAGCTAGAGAATGTAGCAGTGAGTCTGTGTGTGTTATAACAATATAATTACTCAAGACAGGCCTACATAACAGCATATTGTCAGGGGCCAGCGTCTGCCTCTTGCATATCTATAGCGGTCGTGTTTACTTGAAAGCTACATTCACTAGCTTGCTCTCAAACCACTGTTGTGCACATACACACATATTTACACACACACTCACACTCACATGCACAGACATGCTGCTCCTCCTGAGTACATGGAAACAATGACAGGAAGTACATTAGCGGGACCTCCATTGTATCTCCCCATACATCCTCACTTCCTGAGTCGGTTGTGGGTGATGGCGAGGGGGTAGGGGGCGCAGGGTGGAGTTAGGAGAAGTAGAAGAGCCCTCTCTGGTGCCACCAGGCCCACTGGTGAGGGTGAGGGAAAGAGCAATAAGAGGGGGGGGGTCGATTCTGTCTGGGCCGAGACAGAGAGATCCTTAATCCTGCAGCCTTCTGCTGCCCGTCACCCGGCTGGGAAGTCTCCCAGTTGCTGACCTGTGGTCAGTCTCATTGTTTCACCCTTCGGGATACGATTTTGGATTATGTAAGGGTAAGCTGGTCCCAGATCAGCACACAAGGTGAAAAACTAACTTTTAAGTCAATTAGTTGTTATCCCACAGAGGGGAGACAGATGGTGGGAAGGTGGGAGTCACCAAACCTCAGGAATGCCCATAGCAGCCTCTGTGGTCATTTAATTGTGGCAGAAACAATAGTCATGCAGGGAGCTATTTATTCTAAATGTGTGTGACTGTTTTACCCTTTCCAGCTCGGCCCAGTCTTTTAAAATGTTATTGTATTTTAATGCAGGGACCTTGTGGTCTTGGCTGTTGTGATCTGACTTTCTCTTGTCCTCCTTTCCCCTCTGTATCTCCCTGTGTCTGCTTTTTAGGTTTGCCACCACCCGGACTGCCTAGACCTGAATAACAAAAGCCCCCTTCACCTGTGTGAGTCATGTGACTCACGCTGCCATTCAGAGAACACAGACAATATGCACTTTGACCGGCACCCCCGATTTGACTTACAACCTCAAGGTGAACCTGGAGTATTTCTTCATTTGGTGTTCTCCCTTTTATAGTGATATCATGCGCATTGCCTCATTACACTGTGTAAATATAAAGGACACTTATTGTTGTCTAAATAAGGCAAAATATGTGAAACATCTTTCTTTACCATATGTTACTTGAGTTTATGGTTTCTGTAATTATTCTATGTATGTGTGAAAAATGAACAAGAGTAATTAAAGTCTCATTCCCGACTGTTATTAAAGGGTTGGTCCATCCAAATAATGCTAAACTTATATTCTTAAATTATCCTGATTTTCATATAATTTAATCAAACATAAACATCGTGTTCATGTCAGTCACTTTTTTTTCGGTTTGGGTGACATATCCATCCCACTGATGTCATTTTCAGTCGACACGGAGGCTGAAATAGCGGTTAACTTTACATTTTCCCACACAAACAATGCCATTTTTACAGTTTAGAGTTGTTTAAGTTACTTACAGCAACATGTACAGCTGTATTGATTTCATCCACGTTTTTTAGCCATTTTTGTGACTATTTTTACTATTTCTATTTCTGTCTCTATTGGATATATATAACTACTGTATGTATAGGAAGCAGGATAGCTGCAATCCACTTAGAGGAGGTCCTGCTATTGTGTCTGCTGGTTTACTGACTCTGTTACTGGGGACACTCGATGGAACTGAGCCATCGTTACTGTTATTAAGTCAAAATGTCTGCTGGGCAACCAGTCCATTTTAGAGGTCTCGAACAAGGCCGGTGCTAACTAGCCATATGCTATGCTATGAGTGACCTTGTGATATCCATCTAGGAGATTTTTGCCTTCAACCCAACACAGTGGAGATGCATTTAATTTCATTTAGAGCATAAAAGTTTGCCAAATTGGCCCTTATCAGCTCCTGTTTGCAGTGTACCCATTGATGTACAGACAACTTGTACCGGATTACTTTGATCACGATAAACTTGATTCTGAGACACTGGCTCCGGAAAGAGGGAAATCTCAGTGACAAATATATCAGGACAAATTAACCTGAAAAGTTCGGAAGCACAAGAGAGGCAGGGGAGAAAATCTGTCTCTTTTTTTTTTTTTTATTTAAAGTTTGATATTGTCTTAGTTGTGATCCTACAGAAGGAATGACTGCTGTGTTTTTTTGACCTTTAGCCTCCATCCTGGCTCGGAACGTGTCCACACGCTCCTGTCCCCCGCGCACCAGCCCCCCCTCCGACCTAGAGGAAGAGGATGAGGGGAGCAATGACCGCGGGTCAGTAACCCCCTCCGTTATATCATGCTAGTGTTCATGTATTCTTGCATGTCTGTGGAGCTCTTGTCTTTTCACACTGGAGGATAAGTTGAAGCCATGAAATGTGTGTCTGCTGACAGAGATTTTGATCACTTATTTCTGAGTCTCTGCGGTCACATTAAATGGGCCGTTTTTCATGTGGGCTTCCTTTGAGGAAGGGGGTATATAAAAGGTATGATAATGTGTGTGTAACTGTTTTGCAGGGAGCGTAAAACAGGGGGGATGAAGTTGGTGAAAAAGAAGCCACGGAGACGACACACTGATGTAAGTAATCATACAGACACATGCGCTGCAGTGTGCAACATAAAAAGCCCCACCCCACCCCCCCTCCCCTCCCTCTATGAAACCACAGTTTTATTTCTGTTCCTGGAAAGAGTCTACAGCTTCATCGCCTGAAAGGCTTTACGAGATTTTACTTTTTTGGGGAGAAGTTAACTGGGTTTGTCTCTTGTTTTTCTGAGTTATTTGTAGAAGCATGTGTATGTTACAAGACGAGAGTTGCGCAATACGAAGCAGCCACCATTATTCTCTGCAACAATGATATAACATAATGGTATCTCCCAGGCTGCTCTTTGTCTGAGTGTAGTGAGAAGGAGCCCCCCTGTGGATCTGCTGAGAGCTCATACAGCACGAGCGTGGGGCGGGCTAGCTGAGCTGCAGCCCCACCTGTGTAAACTAACAGTGTGTCTGTTCCCCCTACAGGACCCCAGTAAGGAGTGCTTCAGCCTTAAGTTTGATCTCAACGTGGACATAAACACAGAAATTGTACCAGCAATGAAAAAGAAAACCTTGAGGTAAGAGGAGAGGAAGAGTGGCATCACAGAATGTATTGCTTGTTTTCTATGAACCATAATTAACAGCTTCTTGTTTGTATCTGTGTTACCAGAGAGGTTCTAGCTCCAGTGTTTGAGAGGAACGGCATTGAGCTGTCCCGGGTCGACTTGTTCCTGGATCAGTCTAACACGCCACTGTCCCTCAACTTTGAGGCCTACCGTTTTGGAGGGCACTACCTCAAAGTCAAAGGTAAAAAAAAACACCACGACCCATTCACGAATCAAACCCACCTAGCAATGATGCCCTATCCTCTGTCTGCTTTTGACCCTCTCTTAGGCATTGAACAATAAGATTGCATTTGTCTGCCCTGAGCTTTTGCACAAGCAAAATGAAAGACCGTGGCATAGCTGAAAATTGTAATATGTGTTTTGAGGTGTTCCTGCTTGAAGGCACAAAATATGGAAGGATGGGAGGATCTGGATTGGAAATTGATATAAACAGCTGCTCAGCCTGATTTGTCACTGCTGACTTGCCACAGACGAAACTGCGTCTGAAATGTCGTCCAATGTCAGACCAGTTAAAAAGTTTCACAAAAAATCTCCCAGATTAAATTCTGAACTCATCCAGTCACTTATCTTTTTACTGAGGTGACAACATTCCCTCACTACACATACAGCTACCAAGAGTGAGCTCACAGTTAATAACCAATATGTCAAGTGCAGCAGCAGAAAACACGTTCTTTTGCACTCCATTACTTTCCAGACATAATCAACATCTGTCAAAACATCCCAGCATCAGCTCTCATTTAGCTGCATGTTATGCAAATCAGATGAACTGCAGCTGCACTCATTTACATTTTCAGTCTTAGTAAAAATGTTGGCGGTGCAAAATCATTATTACAATTACCTACTGGGTATCTACTAGATTAAGTAGTAGATATGCCAAATTGTCTTTTTCCTGGAAATCACCCATTGTGATTAATCACTTTTTGCATCACAAAAATAAAAAAATCCTGATGATGTGATTTGAATTTGTTGGGGTCTGTACCAAACAAAAAATGTTCATCCAAGATTTGTAGGCGAGAGCATCTCCTCAGAACTACAGTATTTCATTATCACGCTGTTTTGTTGCAAATTTTTCCTTTAACAAAAAACTGCAGCTTCTGTGATTTGGATATTGCACTTGACCATATTGAAATTTCCATAATATTTTGATTAATTGTGCAGCTCTAATTACCACTGTTATTTAATTTATTTAAAAATTACAACACTGTTAGTAGCGGTTGGATGATATTCAGTATAATTATCACTCAGGTTTTGATCATTGTGAAAGGACCATTGACAAACTTGTAAAATATATTGTATTACCAACAATAGAACGTGTTGATCTTTGACTTTCATTATTCTATTAAGTCTCGTACCTTGCAGTCATGGTGTATTTTAGACGTCACACTATTCTTATCTGTGTGCCTTTAACAATGACTAAGCAGGACAGATGGCGTAGGCCAGTTTCCTCTCACACCCGTGTTTCTGACTAGGAGGAAAAAGGAGTGGACTGTATCCTTTAAAAGTGATCAAACCTACAAGGGAAAAAAACTGTCACCGTTCTGCTCAATCTTGTTCCAGAAGTGTCATTAAGGGCCCCTTGAATCTTAATAACTCTGCAGCAGTATGATGACTCTGCCAGCTTTCTTTCCCTTGATGCCTCAGTGGAAACTGGCAATGGTGCCTCTTCCCTACGACCACTGCAGTTACACTTGTTGCAGTCTCTCGATCAAAAGCCTGTTTAATCCTTCCATAAAAGTGATCCTATGCCATGACTAATTGCTATTCTTTTGAAATTGTCACCGTCCCGACTCGCACCTCTTGACCACAGTCTGGAGTTACACATATAGTCTGGAACACAGAGGTCGGGGGCAAACAGTCCACAGCTGTTTAATCACGTGGTTGGAAGGTCAAATGGTTTTCGTAAAGAATACGACTCAATATTGTTCTGCTTTTTTTTGTTTTTCTATTATTGCAATCAAATCTCTATTTTCCTAAGCTTTAACACATATTAAAGTGGCTATAATCAGTATTTTTATATTAACAATGGATCCCATAACATTACATGGAGTCTTGTTTCAGTTCACTCTCATCACTCTCATAGCTTTGTTCTTGTGTGCAGCAGGCAGTCAAAGTTAGCAACTAGCTGGTGAACATAGTGGAGCATTTAGCTGCTATAAACCAAGATAAATCAAACAAAAACACTAAGTTAAAATACGATGACTATTGGACCTTAATTCACCAAAACTGACTCAGAATGAATGCTTATGTTGCTTTTGTCTGCTGGATGTTTTATTGGACAACTGTTAGAAGTATAACAAGTTTGCCATATTAACCTAAAAGTTAAAGATAGTTTAATTTAAGTCCAAGTTTTTCCTGCTTTGGTTGGTATCCCTTCTATGATGTTTACGAGGGCCTGTTAACAGATTTAACTTCAAGAAAAAACAATGAGCCTAATACTTTGGGTGTGGTGCTCAGTTCAAAATGACTCAAAACTGAAAAAAAGAAAAGTAAAGGACATGAAAAGAAAGCACATTGACCTCAGTGGCTTCCTCTGCATTGGAAAAACAAACAAATAGTGATCTGAGGGCTGTGCAGGTTTTCAGTTTTACAGGATTCCCTTTCCCAGACGGCTCAACCACTTTGTTTTCATTTTATTTTAGCACGGCTGGGTGATGAGCTGAAGGTGGAGCAGAGTGTGAAGGACCTGCGCTCGCTCAGTCTGCCCAACATGAAGCCCTCTGCAGGCCAGAGCACCTACATCCTCACCCCGGCCAGCGAGAAGGTGGAGCATGGATCTCTGGGACGCAAAGAAAGCGTCGATCTGTTGGTGAGTTGCGTCGGACCGAAAGGGGCCGTAGTTTCATCTGACGGTGGTTACATTTCACGTGACACTCCAGCTCATAATAATAATACGAAACTGTCTCTCTCTCATCAAACCAAAATACACCACCCCTTTAAACCAGACAGACACACCCAGTGACTCTTACTGCTTCGCCACACCCTTTACTATTTTCCATAACTTCACCTCCTCTCCCAGCAGTCCCATGATGCCTTGAGACAGCGCAGTATCTCATGGTAATCCCATCATGACCTCATCGTATTAAATTACCTTTATCTGCTCAGCAGAACCCTGGGAATGTATTTTTGGATTTCCGCTTCAGTCTACCGGTTGGGTGTTTGTCTTTGTGTGTGCACACTCGTGTATGTGCATGCCAGCCGGCTCGGTGCTGCCGACTGATCCCTTGAGTCCCATATGATGATGAGTTCACTCTGGAACACTCTGTGCCACTTCAGCACTTCCTGCAGCTACAGGAAGTGGTTTGTTACTGATGAGAGATGCTGGGAGGGTGACTGAGGCCTGCAGGATCCTGATCCACTTGGCTGCCAAACATGGAGCATTAAAATAGGGCAGACAGTCATCAGGTTCATGTTGTTGCATATACTGTAGCCACTCTGTGACATGGGAGTTCTTAAGGGTGATGAAGGTGACTTTCAGCACGCCACAGACACATTGACCATTCTTTAGCCCAAGAGCTGCAACTAACAGTTATTTTTATGAGCTCTTTCTTTTGTTTCGATCTATTGCTTTTTTTTTTAAATGGCACTAAATAGTGAAAAACATTTCCAGGAGCCCAAGGTGACAAATTGAATGTGTGTCTCCTGTTGACTTACTAATGTCTCCTGCTAACTGTTTTTCGTTAATGGCTACACATATGATATTGTGCTAGAGGACTGAAGGTAAAGCTAACATGTCCCCAATCGAAGTAACCTTAGCCTTAGCAGCGTTGTTCCTGTATTGGCAGTGTAGAGCTAGTCAGGCCTATATGATAAGGAAAAATGTAACATCATTCTAACATAACTTGAATAAAGAGCAGGACAGAGCCAGTTATGTTAACCTACACTCCTGAAGCATGCTTCACAACAGTGGGGAAATACTTCAGAGTGGATGTGTTAGTCATGAATGGGGCCTTTTTTTAAACAAAGGCTTAGTTATGGTTGCTAACCTATGATTGGACTTTCCCTGTTTGGGAGAGAGGATTAACAAAAAGTCAAACGATATTCAATTTACAGAGATATGGAACTTCTAATTCCAGATGATGGAACTGGGAAATGTTTGATATTTAGCTTATTAAATCAACTATATGAGAATTTTTGTCTAATAATAATTCTTTCAGCTCTGTTTACAACAGTACAGGTTTGCATGCTCAATGGCTTGGCTTACTCTACAACAGTAACACAATTCAGCAGCTGAATATTCAACAAACAATATCACTGAAACATCAACAACTGAAGCTGCTTCCTCCACAGACAGTACTGAACAAAGTGGTTGCTCAGCAACATCAGCTCCAGCAGGAGCAGTGATTCTAGTCCGGCCCAATAATATTTACATGAACAGTTGCACTGTCACCGCTTTGTATTAATGCCAGATGTTTACCAGTTGCTCAAAGTTGAATCATCATATTACTGTCATCCATGTGCCCTCTAGTAGCACGAGTGTATTTCCTGTTTGGGAGCACAAAGAGACTGATACTACCGCTTTGGTAGGAAATATGCAGTAAAAAGCAGTATTGATACTTTTTTTTGTTAAAAGCAGCTTTTGTACTATCTCGTAAAAAAGAGAAATATGTAATGTCCACATAGAAGGAATCATACCCTGTAGCATTAGTGACAAACTGCACTGTGCTGTAGTTTTCATCGTGTCACTGCAGACCTCAAAGTGTATTCTCATTTGAAGTGTTTCGTCAGGTTTAAGCAGTTGGCTTGTGAGCTGCTCCTATTACGTGCTTGAAACAAGTCATTGGTTGTTAAACTCCCCCAAGGCAAGTCTAGACCCACTTACAGGTGAGTTTGATTGTGTGTGTGTGTGTCAACGTGCACACACTGTAAACAGATGAGTCTTGATGTCATCGTTGCTTTAGGCGGGGAAACAGGTAGTGGCTCGGATAAAGCATTTTAAAGCCATCTGTGGCGATAAGTCACTAAGGTTAGTCATCCGGCTGAGACATAAACACTGGAGGTTGCTGAGGAAAGCAGAGTTTTAGTCATACGGTGTGTGAGCTTTCCCTGGAAGGAATTGCTGTGTTTTATTTTCTTTGTGACATACTGACAGTGTAATTCCTTTCAGAGATTGTTGCCAGAGAATTTCAAAGTACCCACACTGCAGGTAATGGCTTGTCAGTTTTATTGGCTGTGAATGTGGAAAGAGTGATGTGAGAGATCAAATCAACTGTAGTGCACGGCCTCAGGGGGGCAGTAATGAGCTGCTGCTGATAGTCTGATGAAAGCTGGTGCATCTGTTTGGTAACTGGCAAACACACTGAGCCTCTGACTGTTAGTGTTGTTGGATTAATAGATAAACGGAGTAATTTTCCTTGTCCACCTAAAAGTATGTTTTTGTGTTTGTAAAAGCAGGATTTTGTGACATTGGAAGCCAATTGTGGTCCAATATGCAACTTATTCAAGTGTTTTGTGGAAGTGCACATTAGTCTGAGAATGAACTTTTTAGTGAAGTAAGAGACATCTTGCGTCCAGTAGTTAAACAATTTTTGTATATTCATATATTCTGGAGTGTTGTAAGTGTTTTTTAACGAGCTGTTTGACGTTTTTTTTTGGAAAAATCACACAAAGCACCAATTATTACTCACGGTAGAGTATTTTTATTTGTCTTAAAACATGTTTGGTGAGGATAATCAAAGAAATAACTGTCTCCAGCTCCTTTAAATGTCAGTATTCATAGTCTTTTATGATCGTAAATATATACGTGAACTAATAATATATATTTGGGTTTTTGACTGGTGGTCAGGCAAAAACAAGCATATATAAATATGTCAACTTGGACTATGGCACTATGTTCTGATATTTATAGACCAAATGATAAACTGGTTAAATATGTTAAAAATATTTAGCAGACCAATCACAAAATTTAATAATCGTGAGCTGCAGCCCTACATTTCTAATGTCTCTGTCTTTGTGAATCTATTTGGTAAGAATGGCTCATAAATGATTTAAATCGTGGCCTCTTGCCATAGAACTCAAGCCCATTGAAGTCTATTAATACTTTTTGTCTTTAACAGACTCAACAGCAGAAACCCTGTGATCCATTTTGGGTTCCAGCCCATATTTTATGAAAGCTGCTCGGGGGACAAAAGCTCTACTCGGACATGTGGGCACTGAGTGCGGTCTTTGAGTTTCTATGGCAGCAGCGTTGGCACTCACCATAAAACGCAGGCGTGCCTGCTTTTTATGGAATCAAGAGCTTTGCTCAAAGAAGTTCAGATATTTGCCTAGTGACCGGATTCACGGCCTGGCATGGCAGCGGCTTGTGCCAGGCTTCAGAGGAAATGCAGCCAAGTCCTGTCCTTTTCTGTACAGAGTTACTCTTTTGTTTCAATGAGGTATTTCAAGTTTATTATTGCGTGCATGCTACATTTTATAGGCTCTGGCAGGATTACGATACGCTGCAGAGAGCTTTGATGATCCAGATTGATTATTTTACAACGGGGAGCCTCGGCCGAGCTTTCTGATTGGTCGAAGACGCATTCCAACCTCGCTGATAGTTCCCATAAAGCACCGCTACCCGTCTGTGCCTCGCACTTATTGCACCGGTCGTAAAAAATACATCCTTTCACACACTTACAATATCAGCAGTGTATCCAATCACCTTTGATATTGACCTAAAATAAGTTCAACTTTTAATCTGCCTGACTCTATGTGCAATTAGAAAAAACACACATTTATAACACTGAAGAAAAATTCTGCACATTACATTTTAATTTATGTTGTCAAGTGAATGATTCATTCAGTAATCATGTTTTGCTGCAGGGTTAATGCGACCAGCTGCAGTCACATAACAACAAAACTAAAACTAAATCTAAAAATTGGGATCCCCCTTCTGTTTGGCATGTCGAGGTTACTGATCCCCAGGGTCAGGGTCAGGGTCACGGTCAGGATGTTTTGGTCTATCTGCAACGCATTATGAGGTCAGATTGGAAAAACCAAACTAAACACTAAAGACCCTGACAAAGCTTTTTACAGTAACACAGCAGCTTCTGGACACAAAGCGTTCAGGCCTTTCCTTTTCCTGAGAACTGAAACTGCAACTTTTACCGCAGCCATAAAGATAAGTCAACCGTCAGGGATTTTCAGTAAGCATGTACAGTACATTGATCCTCGCTCTCTGTCACTCTGCCCTTATTATATAACACAGGACCATCAGTTGCCATAGCACACTGAATACAACACTCTGCCACTCTGTGACACTTACTGTCTCTGAGTTTAAATACATAAAACCCATGTAACTGGGTAATGTGTATTCACTTAGAGTGACATTATTTGATCCAGAGATTGCAAATCACATTGGCCAGGATCACATTGCAGTTTGCAGTTGGATGGTTTTGACTTTCCCAGGGAGTTAATGTCAAGTAATGGATCTTCCATATGTGTGTCAGTGCTCAGTCGTCCCATAATGCACTCTTCCATCACATCAGGGAAATGCATATATACTCAGTTCGAGGGCAGGGAATCAGACCTCCGTACTGAAATGTGTCTTTAACACAGAGTTCCTTAAATGTTATTGCACCAAAAGCTGCCGTTGGCTTTCTGGTTGATCAGATTCATATCCACCTATCTTTACATCAAAACATTGCAGAGTTTATTTAACCAAAATGCTCTCTGAGTTTAGACAGCATTTAATATTTGATCAAATTGGCTTCTTTTTTTAAATCAACTCCGGTATTGTATCCTCAATAAGGTTGAAAAATAGTTTCTTTGTTGCTTTAAGAATTCTTTCAAGGTTCACATTAGAGCTTGAAATGATTAATCGATTTG